GTTACTGGTGTGGCCTTTTCTCCCATTTCCTCAGTCTTTCAGTTGGTTCGTAGGGACAGAAGCTCAGCTTTTTGCCAAGGGGTCCCCAAAAATAAATTTTATTTCGTTTTCTTTATCATCGTTATAGTTGCCATGATTTTCACATTCTTGCCTTTTCTTTTGTTGCTTTCGCTCTTTTCAAAAAATTAGAAATTAAAATAAAACATGGCAAAATTTTTGGTTCGTCCATCTTCCTATTTCCTTGCATTTGAGGTAGTTGGTGCTTTTTTCGTTGGACAGATCAAACACCCAACCATATGACACATCCTTTTCTTTTTTCTCTCCATTTCATTTGCGACGCCTACTCTCAAGACTTATTAAATGCGATAGCTTGCTTATAATAAATATATATCTCTTGAAATGGTATGATGAGTTCTTTTCTAGGGTTATGTTTATGGTCAATTTTGTTGTACTACCCCAATCCCTCCTCCCCCAACCAGATGTCGAATTAAATCTGGCACACCTCTGGTTCATAATCTTCCGAGGAAATATATATTTAGTAACAATAATTATTTTTGGATTAAACAGATGTGTGTTCCGAGTTCCGAGTTCCGAGTTCCAACAACCACAAAAAGTGACAACTTTAATTAAAGGCTGTTTCCTTGTATCTGAGAAGCCACGTGCTAGTTTTCCCCACATGTACAAAACGATGTGATCAAGCATGGGATGGAAGAACAGTAAAAGGTAAGATAACCTGTATAATATAGTGCTGTCGTCTCACCTTTCTCAATCCTCTTAAACGAGGGTTACTTACTCAGTTACTTGTCCTTTAAAATATTCTTGCAATATCTGCCTTCGTTGTGAAGGCAATTCATCATATGTATGTAGTGTAGTATATATATGCTTTTGCTTGCAAGCAATCATGTACATATATGTATATGTATATTTAGATTAAGATTAATATTCTGGTTCTGCAAATAGTAATGAAGGGTTCGTACATTCACCCCATTACGTGCAGTGAGTCGATCAAAGCGGTCAACGGATGTCACTTTAAGGCCAGACCTAAATTAATAAGAAGAGATGGGGGCACGTGGAAACAAAAACTATAAAAGCTCCACAGATTGACAAAAGCATCCATTGAACTTTCGCTACTTTAATCTGTATATATACACACACGCATGAATGTAATGCGCAAGAACATTCCCATTCTTCCAAAGTCTGCTGCCAATATCATTATCCTATTCTCTTCTTCTTATATGCGCACGCACATCACAGCTCATAACAAGTGGGGTTCTTCCATTAAATTTGAATGTCTGGTCTGGATAAAGATATCTATATAAGGATTGAAACTCATGACTACTTTAGATGTTAATTATAAGTAGTATTAGTATATATTCATTCAAAGCATATATATATATATATATGTTTGCTGGTTGCTCTTATTATATATAAGCTTTAAATTTAATATAATGAAAGAAAGGCCATGCTAGATATAACATTTTTGCTCACCACTTTAACCTAAGGTGTATTCTCATTGTACTTCTCAACATTTGACACGTGTCTATTGACTTAACCATAGTTCCATAAATATAAATTAAAGTAAAGAGTTAACTATGATTGTGTCAATGAACACGTATCAAGTGTTGAGAAGGTTAGTAAATATACACCTTAGATTAAAGTGGTGAACAAAAATATTTCATGCACTAGATTAGCTAGCTAAGGTTATTTCCATGGTTGAAACTTGAAAGGTGCCAACAAATTAGTTGGTTGGGCGTCAAGCCGAAAAGCAGTGGCGCAAATTTTTGTTGTTGGCGCGAGCCAGATAATTAGGGTTAAATATGTCGGTGCTGCCTAATTTAATTTGCATTTGCAAATTGCACTGGTGTTATGAGACTTGAAAAAGGACGACTCTCATCCAATTATACATGTACGTGTATGCATGCCCATTGCCCATCTCATCAAACTACACTTTTTAACAGATCATTGAACTCTCAGTTCCCTGAAAAGAGAAAAGGAAAAGAAGAGTTCCATCCACCAAAAAGAAAAAAAAGAAAAAAAAGAAGAAAGATCTCGTAATATTTTTGCTTTTTCTTCCCTGCACACACAGGGCATTTATATTTTCTTGGTGGCTTCGTGGGAACATCACCACGTGAACGACCATGACGACTTTGCTGGTCTTCATTAATCTGAGGGAGGGATGTTGTAGACCATCCGTTTTAATACGCACGTTTCCACGTTTTGGGGGCTACGCTGCGTTTAACGAGAGCCCAACAAGCTTCTAACAGAGTTATTAACTGATCCTCCTATTGGGCTTTTAGCTGTGCAGCGTCGCCTGAAACCCTAATCACTCTCAGAGGGAGATCATGTTGAACTAATAGGCCTTGTTCAGATAAGGCTCAGTCCAACCTTGAACCCAGCTCCATTATCCGCCGCCTGATTAGTTATGATAAAATCAGGCGTAATGGCTGATAGAAACAGAGAATAATAGCAAATGCCATATGCCCTGCCTGCCTGCAGGCTGCAGCAATAGTGTTAATTTTATTTTACAGAATTTTATTTTACAGACAAAATCAAGTTTGCTTTTTGTTTGATTGATAGCATAGCACACTTCACCTCAATGGTAAAAGTTCCATCATATCATACAAAATCTTGTAGACATAAAATAGGAACTTCGTCCTTCTTTAATTACAAACGGAAACAAGTTCCAGAGACTTACAAACACACGTATATACAAACTCAAAGACGCCGCCTATCATATGCAGGTCTCAGCAGCCCCTCATAGCTCATAACTCATAAGCAAGCTATTGAAGGCGAAACCCGCTGACGCATGCTGCTGCTTCAAGATTATTGGAGTGGAAGAGGGGAGAGATAAATAAAAAGCTAGGCTGGCACCATAACAAAGAGAACCTTCCTAGTCTCTATTCACACCAAAAACACATTTCAAAGGCCTATATGCCAGAGCTACAAAGAAGATGATCAGGAAAACAGTTCCGCATTGCCTGCAGCAGCTTCAGGGTGGTAATGAAGCATTTCCTTCCACATCATCTCCCTTATCGTCTCTTCTCCTAAATCCTCGTCTATGTCAAGATCAATTGGTACCTCAGCTGGAGGGTTATTACTGGGATCATACAACGCGGACATGTAAGGGTGTTGGAGTGCTTCAAGGACACTTATCCTCTTTGATGGGTCGAAAACAAGCATCTTTTGCAGTAGATCGATTGCCAAAGGATGGGCATCAGGATAGAGACGGGAGAAGGGTGTCCCAAGAGAATATGGCAGTGATCTTATGTACTTCTTCGCCTTATGGTTGTCTATAAATTGGAGATCCTCCTCCCTCTGGCTGCCAAGGATGTTGATTATGAGTTTGAGCTGGTTTAGACACTCTGTGCCAGGGAAGATAGGTTTCCGGCCAAGAAGCTCAGCAAAGATGCATCCAACGGACCACACATCAATGGATGTTCCATAGTTGTCACAGCAGAGGAGGAGCTCAGGGGCACGGTACCAACGAGTGACAACATACTCAGTCATGAACTGGCCTTTTCCTGTGCTAGTACGTGCTAGTCCAAAATCACATATCTTCAACTCACAGTTCGCATTGATAAGAAGGTTGCCAGGCTTCAAGTCACGATGGAGAATGTTTGCAGAATGGAGATACTTTAGGCCTCGAAGCAGCTGCATCAAACATTCTCTTTAGTACAAGTGATAAAAGATTAAAGCAAAGACAACAGTTATGTATCTTTTAGGGCTTTTAAAATCAAAACAGTGGAGGACAATTTTAATTCTATAGAAGGAAAAAAAAAATTAATAAGAGCGAACACAAAAGAATCTTTCCCGAAAAAGAAAAAAGAAGGAAAGGCATAGGGTAGCACAGTAAATGCAGACGCAGTGATGCAATCCATCCATCCCATTCTGCTCTTAAAAACCTTAGTCCAAACCAATCGAAAGTCGAAATTCATACAGATGAATGAGCACACGTTTGTTCATTAGTACGGTTCAAGGATACTAGACGATTGCACCTATTTCACTACCGTAGTCTGGTTATGTTATTCTACAGCAGAACCATTATTTGAAACTTCCAAGGGGAAGGTCCATGCATTAGTCTGGTGTTCGCATATAAAAACGTTAGCACAGAGGCCTAGCCTCATAAGTTCCATAAAGTTGTAAACAAAATTATGCATTACCAGTTTTTATGAAACTTCATATGCCCTCTCTCAAAGGTAATAAAATTTATAAGTCATTCTAAAATGTATGATGTTTCATTTTCCAAGTAACGAAAAGTAGCTAAGAAAGTGAACTGAATCAACAATATAGTACAAAAGAGCATATGCTGGACTAAATTACCAGAATTGAACAGTTTCACTAGCAAAACAAAGTTAAAATAATCTGACAAGTATTTAATTTATGTCAACTCAGAAAATGCATTTTCCACAATTATAGAAACACAACAGGGCATGGTCATGATGAGTTGAGTACCTGGAAGAGGAAATACTGACAGTGATCGTTAGAAAGTGGTTGGGAGGACTTAATAATCTGGTGCAGATCCGTATCCATGAGCTCATACACCAAGTAGACATCCTTGAAGCTCTTCCTTTGAACTGGCACCATCACATCCTTCAAAGCAATCACATTTTCATGCCGAAGATGCTGCAGCAGCTTCAGTTCCCGCAGCGTCCTCAGCGCATCAATTCTGTTCTCAAACGCATTGTTGATCTTCTTAATCGCAACTTTCTCGTTCGTTTCCCGGTTCACGGAAGAGCAAACGATGCCGTACGCTCCTCGACCGATCGGTTTGATCGGCACGTATTTGGTATCGATCTCGAACAGGGTCTGCCACATGGAATAGTAATGCTTTCCTTGCGATCTAATCCCATTTGGAGGCTCAACTTGAGTCGCCATTTCCTTCACATTAAATTCTATTCATATATTTTCTTTCTCTGCAAAATGTCATCAAAATCATCAAAGATTCAGAAAAGAAACACAACTATTACAGCAAAGTACCATGCTTTCAAATCACATAACCACAAAGCTTACCTCTTTAACTTCTGTGTTTGTTAAACCAATCCAAATTCTCATCTAATACACCGGAAAAATGCGAAATTTTTGCAATTCTCCATAAACAAAGCTTCAGAACCTCCGAAGATCGTTCCTCGCCGAATTCACAGACGCAAGCCCTAGTTTCAACTCCAAACCATTTATGGCCTCAATTTCGCGCCAGAATTTGCCGCGGTGCTAACGAATCAAGTCATGGAAGGCTCTGAAATTGGATTTCGAATTCCGATCTGTGTCGTGAAAAATAGGGTGTTTGACGAGCAGAGCAAGATTCGTTATCTCATCGCGATCAGACCAGAAGGAAGCTACTGACAATTATGTGGATTTATTATTTTATCTTTATTTTTCTTGTTTCTGTCTAATGGAATGGATGATGGATCGCAGCATCTCTCACCGGTTTTCGCTCTTGTAACGCTAGCGAGCACCAACGGATATTTTTAATCAGAGGGACCCACCCATTTTGGACGCGGGGCAGGGCAGTCTTCAACGACTTTACTTACATCGTCGTTTAGTCAGATTACGAGACTTGCAACGACCAAAACGACATAAACAATAAAAAGTCCATTCACGTGCTTGACTCGTGACTTTCAAAACGTGGCGCAAATTCGGTCGCCGTACCGCCAAATGTTGGTTCCCGTTTTCCACGCGGAGATGGGGCCAGAGACAGACGCAAAGGGCACTGAAGGACTCTGAGAAGGAACAATCTGAAATCGTCTGATCGAAACGATCAAAATTCACGAGTTGGAAAACGGGAAGAGGCTTTGAGCTGAGGAGCGATGATCTCTCAGTTCTTCATTCTATCGCAGAGAGGCGACAGCATCGTCTTCCGCGACTGTTAGTTTCTCTATCTCTCTCGCTCGGTCGCATTTCATCTGATTCCGAATTTGAAAATCTGTGATTTTTTTATATATAGGTTTTTAGGGTTCAAATTGTGAATTTTGCAAATGTTTTCAGATCGCGGTGAAGTACCGAAGGGGAGCGCTGAGATTTTCTTCCGCAAAGTGAAATTTTGGAAGGACGATGGGGAAGGGGATGCGCCACCTGTCTTTGTAGGGTATTTTCTTTCTTTATTCGAATAATGAGATTAACGTATTAATGGCATAGTATTAATCAATTGGCATGGCTAATTGTCCTTAATTCGTTTTAGAATGCGGATGGTGTAAACTACTTTCACGTGAAGGATGCTGGGTTGCTATTTGTTGCGACAACAAGAGTGAATGTGTCACCTTCTCTTGTTTTGGAACTTCTGCGAAGGATTGCAAGAGTCGTTAAAGATTACCTTGGGGTTCTTAGTGAAGATGCATTGCGAAAAAACTTTGTGCTTGTGTATGAGTTGCTCGACCAAATTATTGTAAGTGTCCTAAGAATGTAGCAGCATTCTCAAGTATGAGACTTTTGTGTGTATCTAATCTCTGGCTAACCCGTTATCTATAAATTCCAGGACTTTGGTTATGTGCAGACAACTTCGACTGAGGTTTTGAAGTCATATGTGTTCAATGAGCCTGTTGTGGTTGATTCTTCACAGTTGGGCCCTGCTGGAATATTTATGGTATTCTTTATATGATAGATTTGAGTTTGGTGGTAGCCTTTTGTTGTTCACGTTAACTTTGTGATTTGATTGACTTCTTAAACTTGCATGTCTACATCAGGCCAAAAGAATGCCAGTGACAACAATCACAAAATCTGTTGTAGCAAATGAGCGTGGGGGAAGGAAAAGAGAGGAAATTTTTGTTGACGTAATCGAGAAAATGAGTGTTACATTCAGTTCCAGTGTAAGTACCACTTGTGTTTGGCTCAACATTTTTAATTTCTTTTTTTCTTCTTGGGTCACAGAGCTCTCAGATGGTAATCAGTTTTGAGCAGTTTTGATTACTATTGTGTTGTTTTTGCAGGGATATGTACTTACTTCTGAGATTGATGGTACCATCCAATTGAAAAGTTATCTTACAGGCAACCCAGAAATTCGACTTGCTCTTAATGAGGAAGTGGGTATTGGAAGAGGTGGAGAATCAATCTATGGTAATCTTTACACCATAGAAAATGCTTTTCGGATGTCAGTAGTCATCTTTAACTGTCCTTCTTGTATGGTCTGCTGGTATTGTTGAGTGTGATCTGCGCCTTTGGTGCTGATCCTTACCTTTCGATTTCTTTCTTCTTTCTTTTTACATAATGTACTTTTAGTAGCATTTTCCACTTAATCTGACCATGCTGCCTTTTCCAATAGATTATGGTCGTTCACTTGGATCAGGAGCTGTTATACTGGACGATTGTAATTTCCATGAATCTGTTCATCTTGATAGTTTCGATGTTGACAGAACACTGACATTGGTGAGTGTGGTTGGGACATTTTACTATATAATCACATTTAGCACTTTCTTAAGAGTGGAGACGCTATAACTATTTTTCTGTTAGTGTTGAAGTTAATAGATCACAGTACTGTTTAATAGGTGCCAACAGATGGTGAATTTCCTGTCATGAATTACCGCATCACTCAGGAATTCAAGCCTCCCTTTTGTATTAATGCGTTAATTGAAGAAGCAGGACCATTTAAGGTGAATAAAAAGTTAAAAATTTCTTCCTATCTAAAATATAGTAAAATCTGATTCCATCTAAAGAATGTTATGTTCTATTAGGCCGAAGTTACTATTAAAGTGCGTGCTGATTTCCCCTCGAGCATTATTGCAGATAAAATTCTTGTGCAGATTCCGCTGCCAACGTATACAACTAGGTAATGTGAATTTTGCCTTCTCACTTCCTTCTGTTTTTGAATAAGCAAGATATGGTGCATTTGCAGACAAAATTCTAGATGGGCAGATCAATCATTTTCCTGAATTTTTATTTTTTCCTCCTTCTCTCCCTTTATTCATTGTATCATATATTACTCGCTATTTATTATATTTCAATTTGTACTTGGTGAAAGCTTCGAAAAAATTTAGATGAACTTTTGATAAAGTAGCTAGGTTTTAGGTATTTGTTGTGTTATTTTACTCAGCAAGAATTCTTATTGTAAGCACATATGGGAGGGAAAGGAAAAAATAAACTTTTCTTTTCATACTACGCATCCATATCTGCGTTACTGGTTACCTTATTTGCTCTGGAATAATTTCAGAGTTAGTTTTGAGTTGGAACCTGGAACAGTTGGAAACACAACCAATTTTACTGAAGCAAACAAGAGAATGGAGTGGGGTTTAAAGAAGGCAAGGATTTCTTCTCCTCTCTATAATATTCCTTCTCATTCTCTATTTCTACCTTGAGGATTTAGTATATTGATCTATCTAATTTGTAGCAAGCGTTCTCCCCTTGTTTGCATATTACTTTCAATAGGAGTTTCTTCAATGTCCAAAATTAGTAACAGGTGCCTTACGTTGTAGATTGTAGGTGGATCTGAACATACATTACATGCAAAGCTGACATTTTCACAGGAATCACATGGTAATATACTGTTCTGTTTTTCTTTTTTCTTTGTTTATAATGTCGTTTCCCTGTCAGAAGAAAAATAAAGAAACTGGTGTGTGAATGCTACTTTGTTATGCACTTGTATTAATGCAGGAAATATTACCAAGGAAGCTGGACCTGTTAGCATGACCTTCACAATACCCATGTTTAACGCTTCAAGACTTCAGGTAAAGATTTTATCTTTGACCTTGTAAGGACCTAAATTCAGCCAATTTCTGTGGACCTATGGTACAAACTCAGAGCTCCAAGTTCTCTTCAATGCTATGAGATTGTGTAGGCCCCGAATTCCCTTGCCTTTAGATCCCATCAAATTGCTGCCACCTAATAAAAAGTAACTGGAGTCCTACTAGTGAATGTGCTGTGCAAATTCTGCCAAATTAGCATCGTAGTTGAGTTAGTTAACCTTTGTTTGAGAATACTTCCTTCTTCTTCCTTACTTTTTTTTTTTTTTTTTTTTTTTTTTTTTTTTTTTTTCTGTTTCTGTTTTACATACATTTATAATCATGTGTTTTCAGTGATTTTAAGATGCTATTTTCTCCATTTGTTTTGATGCAGGTGAAATACTTGCATATAACAAAGAAGTCGAAGAGCTACAATCCATATCGATGGGTGAGATATGTCACACACTCAAATTCCTATGTTGCCCGGTTGTAATACCTCATCACCTTATTTTGTTTTTCCGTTTTTCCTTCTCTCTCTCTCTCCCCCTCTATGCGTGTTTCTTGCTTCTTTTTTACCTTTACCCAGAATGAATGCAGTTAAAAAAAATGGAGTTAGATTGTTATTACTAAATCAGATTTTATCTTTGTCCTGTGTACCATCATGATGACTCACTAAAGGGGAACACAGACTTGCCCATGATGCTTGAGAGAATACCAGACTAGTAAAACTGACTGGAGTTCTTTGTGTTTGACAGCTGGTTATTATTGTTACCTGTTCTTTTAGGGAAAGTTCGGATTGACGATATAACTCGGAGTTAAATTCTTTTTATAGTTTGTCTGCTGGAGATTAGGGTATATATTATATAGTGCCAATTGATGGCTTTCAGGGGAACTTGATTCCATTTCATCATCTCTGAAATTCTGAATAGAAGTGGTGAAAAGAACTGGATGGTCTTATCTTTAGATTATCCTTGGAATAGCCGATATCCAAATGCCCTTAAGATCAAGTGCTAATTCCAAATGGCCGATCTTAAAGAAAGTCACCAGATGCCATACATAGATTCATCCAATCTAGACCTAAAGACACCCAAAAGAAAAGTTTTTGGCTCCCTTGATTTTCAAATTGTTGATTATCTTTGGCATGGGCAATTTTCTACTAATATTGCTTTAGGAATTCGATACCATTTCCATTACTTTTGTTGTCCAAACTCGCCTTTTTGCCCTTTCCCTAGTGATTGACTAGTTGTTATCAACGACAGGAATCATGTCTAATCATTTCCATCACGGAAGGTTAGCGAAGGAACTGGAAAAATCAAACTCATCTTTAGCATAAAATATGAAGCCTTTCCTTTAGTTGGTAGCATAAAAAGCTGGTTGATACTTTAGTTAGTTCAACGCAGCAAGCAGACGTAATTTTATTAAATCCATGCCGACAATATTTTTGAGCATACAGGTGGTTTAGCTTAAAATTTTATTTTCTATTTTTATGAGTGTGATTATATATGATTATGACTGTAAAATCAGATAAAGCTTTGGCCAAAAGCCAAGAGAAAAACCATATAAGTTCGTAAAATGGGAAGTGCAGAAAGAGATACTTATGATTATTGAATATTGATTGATGAAAAGATTAAGAATAATTCCCATCCAAATGAGTGTTACTTTAGAGAATCGTGTGCAATGTATTTATTTATTATAAAAAAGAATATTTGGTGCAATCATCTTCGCTGGAATTCTGTCATATGCAGAATTCCCTGCCAGCCCAGCCAGGTATAGGGACTGCTCATGCCGGTAGACCTTTGCATTATATCTTGTCGTGGAATAAATAGCAAACGAAATTTGTGAAATTCTAACCTCCTGCATGCCTGTCCATCATCAACATTTTCCAAGTCATCTTCAACGAGAATAGCTTGAAATAAATTAACCCCGTGAATTTGTATTCTAGCCAGTGCCTGCTGCCGGTTGTAGGCAGTGGCAAATCTTATCCCATTGATCCTTCGTTAAATTGGTGATGATTTTGAAGAAAGTACATCTGAATGGCACAGCTTTGATAGCCTCACGTTACTCGAATGGATCCAAATCCTCTACTTGGATTTTCACTGCCATTATATCTTGACTTCTTCTCTCTCCTCCTGCCACATCATTTAAATTTCATTCCGGGACTTTCAGAGTTCCATTTCCATTCAAATATGAACTAAATTTTATCTCTTTTTTTTTTTGTGAAGGACTTGCTTCATGTTACTGGAATGTACTTGTACTCGTACTGGCAGACTTATATAGGTGTTCAGTTCTTCAAACTCGTTGTATATTTTATTTTTTGTAATTTTATACATTTTTAGAATGGCAATTTCGCCACCGTTATTGCCATAATCAAGAAATATCACAATTTTAAAATAAAATGAAAATGAAAAGGAGTTCAAATTTTGATTAATGAAAAAAAAAAGATAATTTCATGTAAAAGATGGTAATTTTCCCTGCAAATTAGGGGCTAATGAGTTGGGTATGAAAAACAAAAATCGAGTATATGAGAACGGATTTGGAAAAATTTACAAAATAGTTTAGACATGATTCCTGTTGGGATTCCGTCATAGTCAGAATTCTCTGCCAGCGGCCAGCCAGGTATAAGAGGACTGCTCATGCCCGTAGACTTTTGCGTTTTATCTTCTTGTGGATTTGACCTCATCTGCAACTGCCAACTGCAACCATTGGCGGCAAAATGAGCTCCAGTTTGTACCTACCTACTACCTACCACTTTTACACGTAGGTTTTCCTTCTTCTTACGAAAATAGAAATTTCTGATAGAACAATTAAACACCTCGCTCAGTCCCTGTCCCACTCTCAATCGAAATTTCTTTTTTCTTTCTTAAAGATAAGTGTGGAATTGGAGCAAAAATTGTTTATCGTCAAATTAAAAGAGATCCGTACTCAAGGTACAAGTAATACAAGTAAAAATTAAGATTTATTTATTTATTTATTTATTTATACAAGAAGAAGAAGAAGAAGAAGAAAAGTGTAGGTGATGGGAATCTTTTGATTCTCTGAAACACGTGGGGTATGCAAGTGATTGACATGTGACACCACCCGGCAACTGTAACTGATGATAATGTGCGCCCCAACCTACAAACAGGAAGCACAATGTGCAGCTTGTCTATTTCCCAAACCCAAGTAATACTAAAGATTTGTTTAATCTCTTCGCATACAAATTCATTCGTGTATTGTGTATATGCTTTCTGGTCAGTTCACTGAACTGGAAAATGTCGTTTTACCTCATCATCATCATCATGCATGCATGCATGCATTAGCTTATAGCCTAATAATAGCCAGACATTTAAATAGCGGCTTCTCTTCTTCCTTGGGTTGAGAGAGTCTTGGCTTTGGGACAAATGGAATAGATGTGTCATCTCTCTTTTCCTCCCTTTTCCTTTTTCTCACGGGCATCAATCCAACGCTAAACATCAAATATTCTAAGCTTTGGCTTACTATTAATTGTATAGTAAATAAAAGGCAAAGTGTTTGTAGCTTAAGCGATTGTAACAAGTTACCCCTATACTCGAGGTCCTATGTTCAAATCCCCCATTCCATAAGTATCGCTTCTATTAATAAATAAAATAAAATAAAAACAGGAAGAAGATAAAAATTGCAAGTATATATTCTGTTTCATATCTATTTATGACTTTTATCATGTCGTTTTGTTGTTGTGCCTACAGAGTCCAACTTAATTGTTGGACCATATTGCTGCTGCACAAGCTTGTGATTTTCTCCGTGATTTTACCGGCGTCGGTGAGTGTTGTTGCAGCAAAGAAATGCTGGATGCAAGTTACAGTTTTTAATGCCAAATTTATTTATTTTTATCAGGAAAAAAAGAAGGAGGAGAAATGATAAACATGTATGTGAAGATGATATTTATGACCTCAATCATTTGAACCGCACTAACATGTTGGCTAAACACTCACTGAGTTTACTTAATTATGAGTTTCAAATAAAAATAATAAAGAGAGGGAAGAAAACTGGTACCCTGTTTTTTAAAGTTACAACTTTTCGAAGTTTAGGCACTAATTTGCAAATTACAGGTTTGCTAATGACTAATTAATTAGGAGGAGTAACTGAGAAGTGTGGGCATATAGTAAGCCTAATGCACATGCTCTCTTCCTAGCTTCACCCCTGAAGGAATCTCATCGTACCGTCCCTCATATCCAACCGTAGAGATTGTTTTCTCCACTCTACTTAGCTAGCCACCTCCCCCCTCACTTAATTACCTTGTCTTTCAATCAATTCTGCATCTCTCTCTCTCTCTCTCTCTCTCCCTCTCTCTCTGTGTCTGCTTCAAGCCTTTTTAACACCACCCTCAGCCATCAACCATCAGCAAGTATACACAATAAATTACTACAAAAATTAGCAAAAGATGTTAAAATCTCAAGAACAACTACCAGATTGCTTTTATCCAACTCAACCAGTACTAATCCACCCAAACACACCAACCCCCAAGCATTGCCTCTCCCTCTCCAATCTTGATGACCAGAAGTTTCTCAGATTCTCCATCAAATATCTCTACCTTTTCAAAAAATCTGTCAACTTAGATGGCCTCAAATATGCCCTCTCTAAAGTCCTTGTTGACTACTACCCATTGGCTGGGAGGTTGAGGACCAGTGCTGACCAGGATCAAAAGCTTGAGGTTGACTGCAATGGAGAAGGTGCTCTCTTTGCTGAGGCCTTCATGGATATCACTGCTGAGGAGTTTCTTGAGCTTTCCCGGAAACCAAACAGGTCTTGGAGGAAACTCCTGTACAGGGTGGAAGCTCAGAGTTTCTTGGATATTCCTCCTCTTGTTGTTCAGGTCAGTTCCATTTCAGATGCAACAATTTTGCTCCTTTCTTTCTTTTCTTAATTATAAACTTTCCCACGAAACAAATATATTTTCTGATACAAAAAAACAGAAAAAAAGTTTGAAGTTTTGTTTTAAACCCAGAGGCAGAGGAAGAGAGAGAGAGAGAGAGTTCATATATTTCTTTCCTCAACATCATCTACAGTTAGTCATAGGGTAATGCGATTTATACAAATAAATAAACTTGAAAGTTTCTCTCACCTGTTTCCTTCAAAGATTTATTATCGATTTGAATATAGGGAAATTTGGCATTTTCTCAATTAACTTGATGATGATGATGCTTCGATATCTTCTGACATTACCAATTATAGGTAAAATATTATTCATACATATTATACACTTCCAAGTTCTTCTGTTCTACATGCACTTTCCTTTTCAATCATTTTATCTGAGGGACAAGATAAAACCAATTTTCACTGCATTAGCTCAACACAGTCAGCAGGACATCTTCACCCAACCCAACTAACAAAAATATGGGAAAAAGAAATGTGGACAACATCTACCCTTGGTCCACCAAAACACATGGCTACTTTTGTCTTTTCAGTTAAGGTGACGCCAAACCTTTTTCAAATTTGCAAACTCTATATATATATATATATATATATATATATCTTTTGTTTCTTTTATTGTAGTACCTAGCTAGCTACTTCAATTTTCTTGTTTCTTATTGTAATTTCTAAATAATATTAAAGAATCTTTAGGAATTAAATTAAAGTGAAATAAATTGGGGTAGCAATTGTAGCCAATAGCCTTGGTCCTTTTGTTATTAGGCAAACGTTAAAAAGGTGTGAGTGAGAGAGAGCCTATATCCTTCATCCATGTTGCTCCAAGAAAATGACCCCAAGTGCCAACTGACGCCTACCCCTACTCCTCATCTCTCATCGTATCTCTCTTTATCTTTTGAGAGTGCTTTTATTCATTTGCATCCATATCATCCAATTCATATTCATATTCATCATCATCACCACCTCTTTTTAAAGCATATTCATAACGTTCTATTTTTCATCCTCACTCCTTTTTTTCTTTCTTTTAAATTTTTTTAAACGTGATCTATATTAATTGGCGGGATAATTGAGCTCACCCCCTTTCACTCAAATTTGAATTTCCTTGTAACCCGTAGCTCGTAAATTATATTAATTTAAAATAATTAAATTATGGGTACAAATTTTTATGGGTGTGATGAGCAAAATGCTTCCTGTAAATAGAATTGTAATGACTAATGCGTCCTTCTCTATGGGACTCAAATTAGCTGTAGTTTCCTAAAGAAAAGAAAATTAAATATAAAAAATATGGAGATTTTGGAAAAACACAAAGGAAAGAGAAATTTTGTAAAAGAAGCCAAAATGGACAAAATTGCCCTTATTTATTTTTAGATTTCCTAAGGAATCATTTACATTTGCATGTCTTTGATTTGAAAGTTTAGAGATTTTTTTGTCTTTTTTAAAAAAGTTTTAGCTTTTTCCAAAAGTGATAATTTTTTTTATAGCTAAAACCTAAATTTTCCTAAAAAATAATCCATTTCGCAGGTTACAAGTCTCCGCTGTGGTGGCATGATCATGTGTACAGCAATCAATCATTGTTTATGCGACGGGATCGGCACATCTCAGTTCTTACATGCGTGGGCCCACATAACAGCCAAGCGCGACCTCGATCCACCAATCTCACCCGTACACGTCCGCCACGTGTTAAAATCCCGGTGTCCTCCACAAGTAACCTTCCCTCATCCTCAATTTACCATAACAAGCAACAACAACGCCGAGGACAACAGCACGCGCGTGGACATCTTGAGACTGCTTCAATCTCAGCCGCTCGTCCCCACTTCCTTAACCTTCACCCAGTCTCATACCCTTCACCTCAAGAGACAGTGCGTACCGTCACTAAAATGCACCACCTTCGAAGCCCTGGCAGCTCACACGTGGCGCTCCTGGGTTAGATCATTGGATCTGTCGCCCTTGCTCAGCGTGAAGCTGCTTTTCTCCGTGAGCGTACGGACGAGATTGAACCCACAAATCCCACAGGGTTATTACGGCAACGGGTTCGTGCTAGGATGCGCCGAGACCACTGTGAAGGACTTGGTCGGTGCTAACCTGCGCCACGGGGTTAAGTTGGTCCGACAGGCTAAATCAGATGTTAATAATGATGATTATGTGAGGTCAATGGTTGACTTATTGGAGGACAAAACGCTGAAGACAGATTTGAGTAGGAGTTTGGTTATATCGCAATGGGCTAAGTTAGGGTTAGAGGACTTGGATTTTGGAGAAGGGAAGGCATTGCATATGGGTCCTCTAACAAGCGACGTTTACTGCTTGTTTTTACCAGTCGTTGGCGATTTGGATGCTGTGAGAGTGCTCGTGTCGGTGCCCGAAAGCATGGCTGACAAGTTTGAATATTACATGACAGAGTTTTTGAGTGTAGAAGAAAACAATAATGGAGATCATCATCATCATCATCATCATCATCATGCTAATGGTAATGGTTATGGATATCATGTGGAAGATCACAATGGAAATATAGTAAATTAATATTTTATCAATGAGCTTCGGTTTTTTGGTTTTTAAGTCTTTCACTCTCAGCCACTGCATCATGTGTGTAAGTTTCATAACGGGAGAGGGAGCAGCTCACTGTAACATGAGTATTTATAATTTTAATTGTAATCTGACTGACTAAAAAGTTGTATATGCAAAGCCTTAGATTTCAAATTAGCCTTTTAAGCTAAGAAAATAGAATACAGTTAAGTGTGTTTTTGTCCCAAACGTGGGCTATCCCCCCGCAACACACACACACACACACACAGAAACATCCCAAACGCTGTTAACCTACTATTTATTTCCTTTACGTATCTTAAGTCGAACATTAAAGTCAACAATAAGATATTAATTGGGTAGTGGAAAGGTAATAATGGCCATTTCAAAATTCCATGTGAGACAATGTGTAAAGGCAAATCAAAGTCTTATCATTTGATTTGATAATAAATAAATAAAAAGTCTTATCATTTGATAACAGGATTCCATACATATTTGGAGCTATAAAACGGGGATAATGTCGGGTTGTGTTGCATTTGGATTTAGTTGGTGCGATAGGATGAGTTTAGTTGATATGGTGCTATGGCTATCTTCAAGTTGCTTGAGAGGATGTAGAGTAGTTTGATGTGGTTTGTTTTTTGTTTATGATATTTTATTTCCTTTTGGCTTTGAATATTTACGAATTTGTATTTTCTGTCATTGCGTGACAAATCTTTATTGCATATTTGAGTACATATATTTCTGGTTATTAGAGAAGTTATATCTATATTCGCACGTTAATTGTGTTTGGACTTGTTTTTGTTTATTTTATCAATACAATACTATCGCTCTTAAAGAAGCTAAAGCATACAAGACTATGCTTTTGCATTTTGGGAAAGTGATAATTAGATCCACATAAGTCGTGTCATTATGTTCCGATCACAAATTTGGGTTAAAAGGACGTTGAGAATTTAATCATCTCTCTCTCCTCTCTCCTCCAGTAGCTTTCTGGCCCATTCTCTCCAATATCCTTTCTTTCTCATCAATTAATTCGTGACGGGGTTTAGTAATTACTATTAGTGATAATTGTTTAAATGTCACATGAACTTATATATCAGTTTCTATTTTTAAAATACCATTGAAAATACTCTTAAAAATGAATGGAAATTTGGATGGTGTTAAAGTCAAATGACAAATCATGGACTTTGAAAAATTAAGGTGACATTTCTCTTAAATTTTTCTTTAAGACGACAAATTAAAACTGAGGTATAAGTTGAGGTGACATATCTACAAAAATCCCTTACTATTATATTATATAGCAAGCATATATAGATCCTCCTTATTAGTCTTTATCATAGATCCTCCTTATTAGTCTTTATCATGCGTGGTCTAGAGATAAGTTAATATATTATATAACATTGAGAAGCAGTGTTATTAATAAAGTAGGATATCATATAATTAGGTATATCTGCTAAAATAAGAATCCAAGCCGTCCAACTCATATGATTTGCCCCTTCATTGCATCGACTTTATTCCAAATTAAAGCGATGAAAAATGTTTGTTTTAGGCATCCCCCTTGAAGAAATTATGCATTTTGACTTTCTTCTAAATATAATGTAGGCAAAGAACCTGGTTCGCTTCATGACTTGCTCCATCAAAACCAAATAGAAATTGGTATGCCAAACGTGTACATATATATATATATATATATATCTCTGAAAAGACCTATGATCGAGCCAGTGGGTTCCCTCCATTATTCTTTTCACAAACGATCGAGCCAGTGGGTTTTGAAGGAAATAAAAAGCTTCACAGCAGTAGTGTGACTTTAGAAATGAAATTAGCTAAAGATTTGAAAAATCAAAATAATAATTTCGATTCCAAACAAGAAAACAACATTTCCCAAAATTTATTCATAAAGTAAATGATGGTGCTGTGATCGTAATCTTTTGTCCGAGTGCTCGGACGATCGATCTACATCATGAGTGAGGTGAGGTTGAGGTGAGGTCGGTGTGATCTTTGGAGGAATCTCAAGTGTATACTTCGCCTTATTTGGAGACATTATAATTTATATATATGATTTAAGATTACAATTCCACGTTTTCAAGTGCACTCTTGGAAGATAACATATTGTCCACCAAAAACTTATATATATATATATATATATATATCAGTCCTGTTATATCAGTCCCGTTTCTGGTCCACGATCCCAAGGACTACCTTGGTCAACTACTGTTTGATAATTCTTTTGTTGGTCGAAAAAAGTTAGATAATTGATAAAAACCAAATTAGCCAAGGGCAATCCTAAAAGCAAATTGATAATTGACGTTTTTTTTCCCTCTTTTTGTTTCTCTCTCTACAAAACTAGAAATTGAGGACAGAGAGAGAGGCTCGGCCGTAACCAAGAATAAAAACCTCATACTTCAAATATTGTGAACTCTTCAATGAAGTGATTAAAGGAAGAGAGAATAAGGAAATTAAAGGCCTAATTGAAGAGTTTAAAAAATAATTTGTATATGTTCTATGATCTATGATGACCAGGTGAACTGATATATATATATATATATATATATATATATATACAGAGAGCTTCCATTGAGGGATCCCTCAAATAAGCTTATTTGAGGGACACCCATTATAAGGCCCACTCCGGATTGTATTTCACTAATCCAAACCGTCTATTTTGTAGATACTTATTTAAAGATCATCTCTACAAAAAATCACTTGAATCCGATATCATTTGACTACTCAATTGAGTTATTGAAATTTTAGTACTTTCTTGAAGTACCATGTGCGTTGATTTTGTAAGACACAATTGGATGTTGAAATGGTTTCCGATTTGTCTAATTTTTTGTAAGGATGAACTAGGGCACTACTAGCTAGCTAGCAAAGTTGCTTTATAGACCCACATGAAAACCAATCTAGGATCCGAATGTGACACTCTGTTGGTTCACACTTTAAAAGCGTGCATATATGTTGTCAATTTGAGGCATGTTGTATGGTTGGTTTGCTTTGTTCGTTATTTTAATGGTACAACTACAGTATGAAAAATTGATATTTTCACCGATATTTGGGTGAAAATATCGTTTTTTTGGGACAGCGATATTTTGGCATCTTTCCATATATATATCGTCAATTTATCGATAATTTCGCCGATATTTCGGTTACGATATTTTCGTTCAATTGGTAGTGCAAATGGTCAATATATCGCGATATTATCGATATTATCGCGATATGAACTTTCTCAAACCCAGACCCAAAAATGGAACACCCCGCTGCTTCTTCCTTTCTCTTTTTGCCTTCTTCTGTGAGACCCACTCCGACACCAACGCCATAGCCTCCACCACAGTCAAACCCACTACACCCTCCATCCACTATCCCTCCACCTAATAACTCAGCATTTTCACACAACATGAATTCAACATCTCCAAAGACAGAGCACAAGTATCATTGTCAAACATAACACAATTAAACCCAATCACTCGACCAACCAATCGAACCCAAACAAGAATAAGGAGAGAGGAGGAAGAAGAAGAGATAGAGGAGCCATGGAAGAGAGAAAGGGAAGAAAGGAAAAAAAAGGGTGCGGCAGCTGCAATGGAAAAAAAAGAAAAAAGAAGATGTGTTACTTAGGGTTAAGAACGTGAGTATTGGAAGAGAGAGGGGGAAAATAAACAAATGAAATGAATGAGAGTAAGTGGGAAGTTGAGAAATTAAATAAAGAAAAGAAAGAGGGATAGATAAGTGGGAGATGGAACGTTTTGTTTTTTTTACTTTTAATTTTATTTATTTAGCTTTTTACTTTTGTTTTTTAATTTCTGATAAATAAAAGGTTTTTAATTTTAATATATCATATATATAAAAGACAGAGAATGTGTGCAAGGAAGCTTAAGCCGGACTTTTGAATTCTTTTTATTTAATTTTTTTCATTATTGTGCTAATTTTGACATACATAGATTTAGAATCTCTTCATCCAAATGAAGTCTTACAAGAGGGTGTACATATAACACATATCTAAAGTGGTGGAAATATGAATGGGAGGTTGAGTTGTGTACATTATGGAAATTTTAAAAATAACATAATGGATTAAAAGTTTACAATCCAACTATCCAGTCGGAATCGGATTTTCCAATCCAACTTACACCCGGATTTAGAATCTCTTCATCCAAATGAAGTCTTACAAGAGGGTGTACATATAACACATATCTAAAGTGGTGGAAATATGAATGGGAGGTTGAGTTGTGTACATGATGGAAATTTTAAAAATAACATAATGGATTAAAAGTTTACAATCCAACTATCCAGTCGGAATCGGATTTTCCAATCCAACTTACACCCGGATTTAGAATCTCTTCATCCAAATGAAGTCTTACAAGAGGGTGTACATATAACACATATCTAAAGTGGTGGAAATATGAATGGGAGGTTGAGTTGTGTACATGATGGAAATTTTAAAAATAACATAATGGATTAAAAGTTTACAAATTACACATGTATCTTACCATGCAATTTATAAAGTATAAAATATTGTACTAAAAATTGATAAATAAATTACTATGGGGTGTTTAATTCTCTTCATTAATTACTCCATATTTTCTAAGTCACAGAGTTTGTTAGCTCGCAATATAATCAACTTAAATCACTCAAACCCACTATGCAATGCATTTCCTTCCATTTTTTTGTGTCAAAATAATAGATGATTGACTAAATAAATTTCTTCTGAAGTTTCATTAAAAATTTCCATGTATTTATCACAATTTTCGTGGTTTTTATCCAATTTGTATCGATATCGATATTTTCCCCATATTTCCATTGATATTTCCATGTTTTTGAACCACCGATATTTCCAAAACTATCGATATTTAAGACCTTGTACAACTTGGAAAAAAAAAAAAAAAAGACCTTGTACAACAAGTCAATATTATTATAGGCTTATCAAGGAGTACTACAATTAATAGAATAATTAACAATAAACTATTTCCACTTGAATATTGATGACATCGATCGATGCTGCACTAAACTAAACAATTATGGCAAATGGATTTTATGCATTGGTGTTAATTAGGGATTGTG